TACGTGGGAAATTGCTACGCTGGTCGACGAAGCTCCTAAAGTATAGATACTCGATCGAGCACATCGAAGGTGTCCCCAACGTCTGGGCGGACTTTATTTCGAGGTGGGGAGGCAAGCCACTGCCTTCAGCACGAATTCATTCTATCAAGCGAATTACGCGCTCAAAACGCCGCCGTCGCGAGCGGCAGCAGAGCCCAGTACACTCGCCGCGCCCACTCGATAACGGTGGCTTGGTCTGGCCATGCATGGACGAAATTGTTAGCGTCCAAGCTCTACATGAAATTCCACAAGGCGCAAAGCTGGATGACAACGACCTTTGGCGACTAGAAGCCAAGGTTTGGATTCCTCTCGAAGCTCGAGATCTGACGCAACAGCTTTTGATTATTGCTCACTGTGGACGGAACGGACACCGTGGAGTACATGTAATGGAAAATCACGTCCGCCTTTTGTTCAAGATTGATGGTCTCAATGGACTGGTGAGGGATTTCTGCTCGAATTGCCTTCTTTGCTCGCACGTGAAGGGAGGAACGGTAATTCCGCGACCTTTTAGCGAAACTCACCACACATTTGAACGAAACGCGACCCTACACTGGGATTTTCTAACGCTGGGAGATTATTTTGGCAATTCTCACTACGTGTTGGTACTGAAAGATGAAGCCATACACTTTGTCGACCTCGTGGCCTGTGATGGCCCTACATCTACCGTTGCAGCTACTGCGATCCTCGACTGGTACAGCCGGTTTGGAGCACCTAAGCTTTGGTTGAGCGCTTGGGATCGCATTTCAAGGCACACGTGATCGCCGAGCTCAGTAGACGACTGATAGGACGCCAGGAATTTATTTTGGCATACTCACCATGAAAAACCGGATCGGTTGAACGTGTAAATCGGGATATTTTGCAAGTTGTGAAAGCGTTGGCATTAGAATTTCGCGTGAGCCTACACGACTGGCCGTACCTGTTACCACTGGTGATGTCTAGCATCAACCACCCGCCGGTCGCTTTACTAGTAAACCGTGCACCCATCGAACTGTCCACTGGTTTGCCATGCCCAAACGCCTTGGATACGGTGTTTATTCCTCGAGAGAAGGGACGTGTCGCCACACTAAGCAACCCAGGGCTAAACACGGAAAAACAACTCGCTGATCTACGTGAAAGCGTCATGGCGATGCACAAGGCGGTGGAGGATGAGCGTAAGAAACAGGAAAAGAGATACAGAGCAAGGTATCACTTCAAGTAAGACGTGAACTTCTCGGTCGGTGATTACGTGTTACGATCACGTGTCCATGAAAAACTTTACGGAAACAAGTTGCGCATAATGTGGGTTGGACCGTATCGTGTTGTGGCAAGCACGGACTACTATTTTACGGTGGAGCATTTGGTCAACGGTAGCAGTATGGATGTGCATCCATCTCGTCTTAAGTTCTACGCGGATGACTCGCTTGATATCTCTGAGGAATTACTTGACCACATCGCCCCCCAAGGGACACTGCTGGCGATTGAAGCAAACGCGGAGCACAGGTTCAATGCGGACATGGATGCCTATGAGGTGAAAGTGAATTGGTTGGGCCTCGAATCAATCGAGGACTCCTGGGAACCCCCAAAGACATTTAGCGAAGATGTACCTCAACTACTGCTAGCATACGCAACGGACACCAACGACAGTGAATTCCTACTAGCAACCACGATGGCAATTAATTCCAAGCAGCAGAAACGTTCTAAACGCAGCGACGGCTACAGCAAGATCCTGCTCAAGGTGATGATCTACTTCCGGAGAATTCCACTCCCGACGTCCACTAGCTTTGGCTCATGCACGGCAACTGGAACATATACGAGAGAAGTCTTCAGGCCATTTTCATACGAAGTTTCAGAACGTTTGGATTCTAAATGGAAATACACGACGCTGTTCAAGCTTTACTGGTCGGTCATTGGCTAAAACCCCATTCGTGGTATTGGATAGGTTGAATTCGAGATTCGACAAGTCGTTGCAAATCCAACATGTAACACTGCAACGTGTTGAAGCTGAAGACCTGTCTCTACCCAAGGTGGGACAAAGCAGGCACGACTAGACAAATCAGGATCACAAAGTAGACATTTACTGTACTGTACCGAGGTGGTGCTCAATGCGAAGTTGGAGGCTTGGGGGGCAGTGTGGCGATGGTAAGAATTGCATCTCTACGCCAGCGCCTCCAGCCCGCAATATGGTTGAGGCATGCCCAACAGCAAGCACGTGTTCGTGCAACAGCAACTTGAGGTTGAACAGGTATTTTCCCTGGACTGCCATGGAGGTAGGAGAGAATGCTAGCAAGTAAGTAGACTAACTTACTTTGCAATTTGCTTCTGACAATACAAGTAGGCATTTGTAGGGAGTTCCAGCTCCCAATCTTTGTTGTACACGTTACAACATGCGTTATGAAGAAGTAATGCGAGTAGATCGAGCTTACCGTAACTTGCGAGAAGGGTCTCTGAATTCCTATGGTACGACAACATATGAGTAATGAAGGGCACACACCCTCGACATCAAAGAAACGTTACATTGAAGTCAGGGTTACAAATAATGTTTTATCTTGACCAGTATCGAAAAATACTACTACTAGTGAGAGATATGGGGTCGTAATAGAAATAGGGATACGGCTATGAAATTGTCCTAAAATGCCCCAAAAAATATTTGATTTTTGTAAGCAACCGAGGTAGCCAAAGAAAACCCGTGCGGGGCCGAAACGATATTTACGTAGGCGGACTCAGTGGCCATCTCTACAGCGACTCGCACGGGCCTGGTAATATAATCTTTACCCGGACGTTTTAGGACTGTAGTGCATAACTAGTGGAGCTACCGTTCGTTTTGATTACAAGGAAAAAAATATCGCCGGTTCCACAGTCCGGCTTACTTATAGTGGCGCGTCTCCACATACTTCAGAATCAAATCGGCTAGATCCTTGTTTTCCAGGATAATTTTCCTTCCAATCTCGTCCTTGGCCTTAGGGGTCCGCGAATGGTTATGGACTATTGAGGGGGAGGGCTAAATCCCACCTCCATCCATTATGGTCCATAGTCCATAACGGAGATACCCCAAAATCCTTGATCTGCACTTTATACACAACAGAAAGTGGGGTGGAGAGGCATCATCGACGATCACGAATAGAACACATTTTCAAGGCACTGTTATCGGTAGATCAAATGTGATATTGTGACGCTGTCGCCAATGAATAGAAGACACTAAACGCAACTGGAGATAGAGCTTTGCACCTTTCACTTGTGCTTTGTAATGACTGTGGGTTTCGTCCCATTCGCGATTCCATACATAATGGCCATAAATTATGGCCATCCTTATGGCCATACCATTGGTTTTTACGTACCCCTGCTTGACCTTGTCCACATCATGATTGTTCCATTTCGCGAGCATCTACCGTTGATAATTTTCGTCCAACAACATTTTTTTGAAGTTTCACTAGAGAATTCGCTCCAGTGTCATTTACTAAATAGCCCCGGGCCTCTGACTGCTGCACCCACCAGAATGATAAAGCTCAGACGCATGTTCGGAGAATGACGAATAGTAATTAAGACATCGTTGTGGCTCGAGTGATCAAAAACAGTTTGAAAAGTGACGCACAACTAGACGCAGTATCATGATTTGGGGCTACTGGTAAACGTGTTGTAAAGCAACAGTACATGCAGATTACGAATTTATACGTAGTAAAAGACAGGGTCGTTCTCCAATTCATACGGACGGTATTAATACTACCGCTGCTCCTTCATGGGCTCTATGAATCACAGTATGATGGCCCATCATTGATGGGCATTCGACTGGCAGCGCACACAAGCCCCTCTGCTCCAGTCATTGGTGCTTGTTGACGAAGTCCGTCGTTTACGTGGCAATTAAAAAACGTGCAGTATCAGAAAGGATTTATTAATCAATAATCGATGATGTACTGTATATAAACAAAGCTCATGATATACTGTACATCTTATGTGGAGAAGGTACACTTGCAACCCACAGTGCTTTACATACCGGTATGGCAGTAAAAAACTCCAGGTGCCTTATAGAATCTAAATTCCAAGCTATACGAATAAATCCATGGTAGGTCGGTCTCCTCTGAAAGCAAAAGCGTTGGTCTATTGATAGCTCCAGCTTGAGCCTTTTAGACCTGTCTCTAGCAGCAAGAATCAAACTGGATCTAATTTACCTTCACAACTTTAACCCTAGACCTGATCAGAACATTTCTACCAAAAATGCACCGACACACTTCCGTATATGTACCGACCGTGTTTCCTGATTTATTAATAGTATACAATCTGATTGGCCATAGTGGGAATGACGACGGCAACGAGGGCCCATGACATACCATGATTACAGCGACGAACAGTATGTAAGTGCCACTGAGTTCTTAATACTCCAAAAAGGGTCCACGTCTGGACAGCCATATACTATATTGCAAGATTTTGCCAAAATAATGGTATCCTACTGTTAAGATTTTTTTTTATTGCGTTGAATCGTGATACCTGATTTGCTAATAACCTCAGTATATCCCACGCTCCTCCCATCCTTGTTTAGTGCTTTTTGTTGGCAATTAGTTTGGCGGCAGTTGCATTTTGAGTCAGAATTTCTAATTGTCGCTGTACTTAATTTACCAAGAGGTAATCATTTCATTGTGCAGTATTGCAGAGCCCGTGAAATCGAAATAAAAGACTAGTGCACATTTCTCTCAAGCTTCACGAAAACACTTTCATTCTTCAATTTGCATCCCGATGCGTTTTTTCTTTCTGACGGCCGTAGCTTTCGTCATCGCCAGTTTATTTGTCGACGAATCAGTCGCGAAAGATCCACAAGGACATGTTCACAACAGGGTTAATTTCGATACTGTGAACACGAGCTCAAGCCCGAAGCTCTTACAAAAGAATAGTGGTGGTTTTGTTGTCGAGAAAGGGCACCCGTCATGGAAAAGCTTAAGGCGTTGGTTAAGTCTTCCACGGTGAATTAAGATAAGCTTCAGCAATGGCTAGACATGGGGCTACCCGCTGGACAATTGTTCAAGAACATGAAACTTGACAAACCAAACGTCTTCTCTTTGTTTCAAGATCCCAGCTTTGTTAAGTGGGTCCAGTACGCGGACGACTTGAGTACCAAGTCATCTCCTAAAGAATCTTCGGTGATCTCCACCCTGACATCATTGTACGGCGACATAGTAGTCTATGAGGTGATTTATGCTGCTAAAAGGTACCCAAACCTGAGAGAACTCGCCTTAAAATTGCAAGAGGATCAGTTGCGCTACTGGATAGCCATTCGGAAGGGCCCGTCGATGTTCTTTGATTTGCTAAATCTGAACCTAACGTGGACAGGGACATCTATCTTCTCGAAACCTGAATTTTCCGTTTGGCTTAAGTACGTAGACGATATGAACGCAAGACACCCCGAGGCAGCCCCGTTATCGATTATCCCCACGCTGACGCAGATTCTAGGCCGAACTGGCAGATGTGGCAATGTTGAGCTCGTCAAATTTATTGACGCCGGGAAAGTAAGTTTTAATTCCGAAGCTGTCGCTAAGAGAGTGGAGAGTGATCTGTTTGACTTCTGGCTTTGACGTCGAGAAACACCTGACAAGATCATGAACGTGCTAAACACGACACTCCAACCCCAGCTTTCTTGGGGAGCCCACGATGGAATGAATGGGAAAAGTACTTGAATGTGTACAATGCCAGATTCCCGGAGAAAAAAACCACAGCTATTGATACATATGTGGGAAAACACGGTGATGTCAACCTGGTAGTTCTACTGACCAAGGCGCAAACGAGAAGCGATACGAAAAATCTTGCTGCGAAGCTGCAGGCTGCACAGTTTGAGACGTGGGTCAGAAAGGGTAAGACTCCCATGGGCGTCTACAACGATCTGCAGCCTTACTATCGGAACGTCGACTTCTTCTATGAGCCGATACGCAAGACGTGGGTCTCGTACATAAACATGTTTTTTTTTGAAAAAATCTGGCAACTGTTTTCGGAATTAAGTCGCACCTTCGAGGGCACGAATTTTTTACGGATTCTTACAGCCGCCACCCAGTTCCCTAATTTGGAGAGTACGGCAACCAAGCTGCGGTATGATAAGGCTTCGACAGTTTTTGCTAGCAAAGAATCTCCGGAGAAACTATTCAAGCTACTTGCACTTGACAGTGTCGGGAAGAATTTACTCAGCGACACTCTGTTCCACAAGTGGATGCGTTATCGGCGTTATCGGGAGAATTTCAACAAAGCCAATCCGAGATGGTCGGTTTCCTGAAGGTATTCGAGGGAAAGCTGTTTTTCCGGGGTCAGGAGAGCAAGTTCAAGCGGAATAGCTGTTCACCATCCTCGTACTCTCTCCCAGAACGACGGAGCTCGTAACCAACTCGTAGTTAGCAGTCATTTTAGATTTCTCCAGCTCGAGAAGCAAGCAAAATTTAGATTTCTCCAGCTCGAGCAGCAAGCAAACACAACAACCAAAACCGGAAACTCCTGCCTTCGCCATGCCTGCCCCAACACTTCCACGCGGCTCCTACCTTCTCCTTTTTCCCGAAGACGTTGAGGGCGCCATCGACACACCAGCGTATGCCATGGTGAAAAGTTCTTGTGGGGCTACAGAAGCTGTCATCTTGGACGGTGACAATGACGATAAAGAGAAACTGGTGAAGGTTCCGAGGACCAAGGCGCTGGCAAGAAAGGTGGACCGAAATGATGCGGAAGGACAACTACTAGGGACGTGGATAAGACAAGCTGTATGTGTGAAGAGCGACGGTCGCTTCCGTTACGGTCAAGTGACTGGCTACTCGGACAACCGTCTTACAATCTGCACCCTTTCTGGACCGATAGAAGGCAACCGCGATGCTATCTGCGACACCGTATACCCAGTCGTGGCACTGGTAATGGGCTGTCACCAGCTCGAAGAAGAGACCTGAACTACGAGCAACTGACGGGCATCCACGATGCCCTCATGGAAAGGCTTTTGTCCCCTTCGACATATGAGGCCCCTCAGAACGCGTTAGCACTGGCGCAACTCATGCAAGGCCTCCTTCCTGATGTATCCCCGGGTTTCGATAGAGTAGCCAAGTGGATCGATTCGCATACAGGCGAATGTACTCGAGTCTCTGTGCAACACGTGGTAAACTACGTTTACTTCGTGGATTGAGGCAAACCAGTACCCAGTCACGTGAAGGCCTCGTTCGGATCATCCTTTTGCAATTTGGTGGGAGACAGTAAAGCTACTGAAAACGTACCGGCTCCGAATCTAGGTGCGGCACAAACCAACCCGTCCAATTCGTCCGGATTCTTTGATATCCTACGCGTCGACGACGATAAAGAAGAAGCCCATTTGGAGACTCTGCTCGCACAAACCGTGCTCTCAGGAGAATCTGACAGTAGCCATCCGCCACGTGTTACCCCTCGAAACCGTTTGCAGCACCCTCGGCAACAGTCGTTGCGGCCTGATGCTACAACAGGCGACGCGTTCCCAGCCAGCTCACACATTGCCACCCGACTAGCTGATGCGTCTACAGCAGAGGAAGAAATACGCGCCATAATCCTCATGCACAAGCCCCACTTACTATCATACCACCTTTCGACCCAATCAAATCCAGACTCGTCTTTAAAACGGCCGGCAGCCGTGGACATCGACGGCTCAGGACGAAGAAAAACAAATTCAGCTTCCACCCCTCAGCTGAGCAGCGGCGGGTACATGAGGCGGTCACAGCCGAAGCGCACAGAGGTAAGTCCCCTTCAGAATTTGTGGAATCATTGGTATCAAGCAGTGACCTGTGGGCCTACCCTGGGGTAGCTACCCGGGCATACGACCTAGAATTCGGAAGCCGCGGTCTTTCATTCCTTCACTTTACCCCAGTAAACCAAATGCTGCGACTCCGACGACAGCGCGACAGCTTTATCAACATGAGCGATTTTTCAGTGTCAGCAAAGTTCTCGGCTGCTCCAGATCCTTCCTCATGGGAAGACGTTCTTGCTGGCGCAAATGGATTTCAACAATACTGTATCGCACATTGTGATACAGTGACGCAACATCTCGGAACCGCCCTCTACAACTTTGTCGTGGAGCTTAAAGCCCGTCAATTATGGCCACATGACATGCTGCTAACGCTGGTGCTGTGGATTGACGCCCAGCTTGAACGGTATCGCAGCGCAGTGATCAGAGACATCGACGCTGCGTCATCCACACGATTCATGATACCAGCACAGTTCACACCTAGCAATGTCGAACTCCATGGACTATTACTTGCTGAGCAGAGGAATCAATTCGACGCGATTCGACAATCCTCGGGGAACCACGCGACTCAAACGTCAAATACTTCGCGCCAACCACGCAGCCAACGCAACACGGCCAACAGCACGAAAAAGGAGCCAAGCGACAACTACTCCTTACTTCCTCAACAGGATGGAAAAGAAGTCTGCCTTAAGTTCATCTCAAAGAAAGGGTGCCCGTCCGGCGATCAGAACGTGTGTATCTTTGCCAGTAGAGCGCACTTCTACCCAGCGGCCATTTCCGACCAACTGCGCAACTATCTTCGCCGAAAGTTTGGTGGTGTTCACAGCAACTACAAGTGAAGGAGTCCAGGAGCCGATGGTCCTTCGCTCCCTGGACAAATTAGCTTGGACAGTCAGACGGTAGTCGCATCATCAAATTCGCCTGTGCATCGTTCTTATCAACAGTCGTCAGGCGTAGGCACCAGGAAATACGACGTGCTCAAGGAAAACAGCCAATCCACGCGGAATTTCGGACCCTCAATCTGTTCCAGATCGGACGACTTGTTGTCCACTGCTCCACTGCTCAAAACACTCCGTCGGCAGACCCTCGCAGGTTGTACCAGCTCGGTCGACGTGGTTCAGTTCGAGCCGCTGCGAAGCATACCAAGTCGGCGGCCCAGCGCACGTCGTACCAGTTCGGTCGACGTGGCTCAGTTCGAGCCACTGCACAGAAAGGCAATCGAGCAGACCGACGCAGGTAGTACCAGTGCCGTCGACGACTCAAGTGAGGCTGGCCGAGATCGGCACCTCAACGCAGGTTGCATCGTTGAGTGCTGTGGTGGCCGTGACCGACATGTTCCCCCCTATAGTCAGTACTCCAACCCACGACCAAGTTCATAGGTTGTACGCGACCAGCTAGCAAAACGTTTGACTACCAACGCCTCTAATCGCCTCGACATGTTCAGCAAAAAATGCGCAGGATTAGGCATTTCACCACCAGCTAACTTCCCACTGCAAAACAATAAGCGGCAATGGCAACTCAACAAAGAGAATCAGCGGGTGGTAACTGCAATGGCGCTGGATCATGGAATGAGTCTTCACAACATCGTCGAAATAGTGCGCGGACAAACCAAGAGCGATTATCGGCCGAACAAAGCGTTGTGCCCCTCACGGCTCGGCAAGTTGCTTGATGGCTACAAATATAAAGATCTACTGATCAAGATTGCACGTGAGGGCATTCAACCATTGTGGCGAGCCGATAACCCACCCCGCCCACGACCAGTAAAAACCCACGGCTCCGCTTCACGCCACCTGAACGGAGTGATAAAAGCACTCCGTAAGGGCCAAGACGAGGGTCAGTATCTGATTCTGGACATCGCTGTGCTGGAACGTTGGAAAAATATCCAAGTGAGCCCCCTTGGTGCAGTGATCAAGAAAAATTGCGATCCAAAGGAGGACATTCGTCTGATTCATGATCTCTCCTTTCCCCGGGGTAGCTCCACCAATGACATGTCAACGTCCAATTCATCTCCAGAAATCGAGTACAAGCACGTTTCAGCAGTGGCTCGAAGAATCGTGGCGTGCCGTATCAAACACAAGGATGCAGTGGTCAAAATTATGAAAGGTGACGTTAAAAGCGCGTTTCGAAACCTCATGGTAGCTAGTGGTCATGTTCGGTGGATGGCAGCCACGATCCCAAGTTTGGGAGTTCTCATCATCGACATGTCAGCTCCTTTTGGGTGGACAAGCTCTCCAGCATTCTATGGAGCTTTCGGGGGAGCTATTACGTGGCTAGTCAGTCGTGAATCCCCGAATTCGTTGGACCCAAGTTCTGGTGATAACGAACCATTTATTGCGTATGAGTGGGTGGACGATCACGTTCTCGTCGAGCCACACATTGGAAACCGACTGCACCTTGCAAATGAAGCACTTCGACTCTCGATGTTGGCAGTTCTCGGACCCGGATCCATCAACGAAGAAAAGTTCTCGGCGTGGGAGACGAAACTTCAAGTCCTCGGATTGGCATTTGACACAGCTGCTTGTACCATTTCGATGCCACACGACAAAAGCGCTCGAACGGGTCAAAACGATGCAACGCCAGCAGTATACCACACGAACCCAATTGCAGCAGCTTCTCGGCAGTCTACGGCACGTCTGCCCGTGCTTAAGAGCGGCAAAACCATTTTACCAACGCCTTCAAAGTAAGTGCACTCGAACACCCCGATACGGCAAGGTAGCAGTCGATGATCACAGTTTATAAGATCTGTTGTGGTTTGAGGCAATCCTGAGCGAAGGTCGTCTCCAAAACCTACATCTTGCCATTTTCACCAACGACCAACCAGTGGATGTTCATCTGTACATGGACGCTAGCAACTACGGCCTCGCAGTACTAAACCCTGTTACCAAACAGTACATTCAACTTCAGTTCGATCAAGAAGAGAAAGACCTGATCCACACATCGACAGGCAGTGACGGATTCAACATTAACGTCAGAGAGCAGCTGTGTATAGCTCTTGCTGCGTGGATATTCGGCCCGACGTGGTCTACATCGCCAGTGGTTCTTGTCAAAGCATGGTCCGACAACACGTCAGCAGTATCTTGGACCAACAAGCTAGCGAGCTCTAATCAAATGGGTCAAGAAGTGAATCGTGCGATTGGGCTAGCAGAGGCTCTCTTCGGCTTTCGTATGAGCTGCGGTCACCTCCCGGGTTCAATCAACATTATGGCGGATGCTGGGTCACGTGCTTGGTCCCCCCTCATGATAAAATCTGGTCTAACCTTTCCTTTCAATGGCAGCAGATCCCCGTTCCGCCCAATCTCCGCAAAATATACAAGACCTTCTCAAACAACTTCAATCGCAAGCATTGGCCCCGGGATCAAGACCGAAGTACGCATCCACGTGGAAACGATGGTCAGAGTGGTTCTCCTGCCACGGTTTCGACAAGTGGCTACCCGCAGATGCGCAACAACATTCGCTACAGCTTGCCCTATTTGCCATCCACTACTGGTACTCAACCACGACAACGACAGGAAAACCACTATCCACGAACACCGTTCTGTCCGCCATTAGCCATATCTCGTGGTATCATATGCGAGAACGAGGTTACTCGGTTGGCCTCCACGCAGGACACAAGTCGGCTGTGCGCGGGATGCAAAGGATGTCTCCACCGTCAAGGCAAAAACAACCAGTCACGCGCAAAATCCTCCAAGAACTTCGTTCACGCTGCAACTTCAAAACAACCCACGATCGCGTGCTATGGGGGGCTGCGGTCATGGGCTTTTTCTTCTTGCTCAGGCGATCCGAATATCTCGCCGACGGCAAACGAATCAAACCATACATCATTCGCACGAACGACGTCAAGTTCTTAAACAAGGAAGGCCTTATAACGGAGTCACTTAAATGTGCTGAGCAGTGTCCATACACTTTCGGGGTAGTAAAACCGACCAAGCCGGCTCCGAAACGTCAAGAACACTGCACAGGTCTGGATCAACGTGACTGTGTCCGGTTTTGGCTACCTGGGAGCTTGTACAGATCACGAAACGCTTCGAGAATAGCTCTGTGTTGTGCTCGACGAGTCCTGGAAGAACTCTCACCTCCAACGCACTGGTAGACGCTATTAAGACTACTGCAGCATCAGTCGGCGCTGACCCATCCCAGTTTGGAACACACTCAATGAGAAGTGGCGGAGCAACGGCTCTCTTCGCAGTTGGTCCGACAGACTCACTATAAAGCTCTTTAGTCGTTGGTCCTCATACGCGTTTGAACTATACACAAGAATGAACAACACAGTCTCCGAGTCTCTATCGCAGCGAATGACGAAGGGTGCCATGTTTAGTGTTAGCCCGGCTACACCGGAGGGGCTTCATCCAGCTCAACATTCCTGAGCTGGCCTAGCTAACACTTCAACATGACATGACTGCGCCCCTACTTGCTGTATGATCACGGAAATGGTCGGTTTCCTGAAGGTATTCGAGGGAAAGCTGTTTTCCGGGGTCAGGAGAGCAAGTTCAAGCGGAATAGCTGTTCACCGTCCTCGTACTCTCTCCCAGAACGACGGAGCTCGTAACCAACTCGTAGTTAGCAGTCATTTTAGATTTCTCCAGCTCGAGAAGCAAGCAAACCCGCCGCACCTGACCCAAAACGTGGGGGGGCTTCATCCAGCTCAACATTCCTGAGCTGGCCTAGCTAAAACTTCAACATGACATGACTGCGCCCCTACTTGCTGTATGATCACGGAAAAATCATGAGTCGTGGATTGACACGCTCCGTATTAATTACCAATGGAGTGGGGTAGAAAGAATTATCGAGACAGGAATGCGGAATCCGAGTACAAAAGAGATGGCTGAAAAAGTGGAGAATGCGTTTCACAACTACTGGCTGAATAGGAAGAAGACGCCCAAGGATGCCTTCCGTTTCCTGTATCTCAACACTATTGATGAAAAAACGCTCATCAGCCCAAAATTTAGCACGTGGGTAAAGTACCTGAATAACTTCGACGATCGATACCCTGGAGAGAAGACGACAGTGCTTGACGGCCTTCTGGCTTTCTACAATGACAGAGCTCTATTCAGGATGTTTAAAGCTGCAGAGGAAGATCCCAGCACGAAGAAACTCGTCACCGATCTTCAGAGTGCTTTAATCCTAAAGTGGCGAGATGCCAAGGAGACACCAGAAAAGCTTATGAACATGCTTAATGGCGTGCCAAACTCCCGTGAAATGATTGATCGATACTCCACGCTAATATCGGGGACGAGAACAACCTCATAATCAATTCCACTGAAGTGGCTAACAAATGTAATAATTGTTCATCATAATTGCGTAATGTGCGTCCTTGGATTGGAGCCACAAATATGCCTACCACTCTAACAGGGATCAGGTCTTTTAAGCGGATGGGTTTTTTCAGATACCTTTCCTGTCGGATGAATGTGGCCATCGCTACAGGAAATTGGTCGGTCCTACATGTAGGAACCTTATCGATGTAATTGGATGAACAACGGAGCGTAACCTGCGATAACATTCGTACAACATTCAAGCACAGTAGCACTGTACAGGTACATTTCACGCACACGAAGCCTCAATTTTGAAGCCGTAGAGTTTATGCTTATTGGAGAAGTAGTGTTTGGACTCACTAAATTAACCGGTAGGACGACTAGAATTTCACGTTTGTATTCTGCAGAGCGTATGGGTAGTAGCTGAATATGTTATGGCTGGCACGCTGGGAAGTCGTTGGCGCTAGACGACGGAAGGTTCTGTCTAGTACTATTTATTGCGTCGCATTAGAAAGAAAACAGCGCATCATCGTTTCATAGGTAGGTGCTAAAAGACGAAGCGATCGATTGCGTGATTCTGCCACGTATCGAAGTGTTTCAATGCACACAGTAGCATCGTGAACGCATTTTTTGAAGTAGTTGCCGAAGTGCGGTCGCGACCTGACGTAGCGGTCAGTAAATCTGATAGTATTGAAGTGAACGGGACAACAGTAATGACGGTAGTATTAAAAAATATAATACTAATGCATGTTAGCTGCAACTATTGCCTACATCGCACCGAATTTTTTTAATAATTACATTATTTCCTACCCTGAACTCCCCCTTCTGTCATGTTTCTTCTCTCATCCGCTACCTGGGCATAAAGCTCTGTGCTATAATAAATGTCAGATCTAGTCACGATGGCTAAATAAAGTGGCAGTGGTTGTGTCTTCTTGTATCCATATTGCATACCGTATACATTGTACCGTACGTGTTACACGTTACACGTAACGTGTTTAATATTCTTTAGCACTGCAACCAATCACATATCCGGATCTGTGTTGGACGCTAAAATAATGTCTAACCACGTCGAGGAACACAATACCGTGTTGAAGAAAAAAAAGTAGTCGATAGTTACTTGTCAAGCAGCGGGTACAAGGTGCTGCGTCCATGCTGCGGTGCATTCACTGGAAGAAAAAAAAACACGTAACGGCGAGTATACAGCGGTCGAGACCGTTCGCAATGATCCGACTGCATTCTTGTCGACAACTTTTAGGTCGTGTCTGTATGCTCAGGGAGACTGTCTATAGCACGTTCAAGTGAAACGAGTCGTACTCTGACTCGTTTCCTCTATACTAGCACGTATTGCGCTGACAAACTTTCACGTTGAAGTGAACCCACTCCGAGCTGACAACGGGCGTATACGATACACTTCGATCGCTGATCGAATGCGCACCTGTCGTGCGCCGACGGCGTGAAGCTCGCACGACAGCAGACATTAGAATAATATTCGACCGCGCTTATTGTTCAGCGGTACGGACGTCGAGGTGTTATTGTTTTGGTGCAATTGATATCAAACCAGATCTGCACTCTCAAACGAAATGGCACTGCTATATTGTAAGCTTTTATTTGCGACGAAGTTGCTCAGTTCCACAGCAACATTAACCGAAAAGCTCACTTACTTGACGCAGATTTATATAGGTAATGCTAACCAAATAGTTGTTCACTGACTAATCGACGGATCATTTTGGCTAAACATTGTGCTTTTTCTACCAGACCTTTATAGATGCACCAGCTTCCACAAAAACAAAGCATGTGGACCCATAGATAGATGAGTGATTTCAAATATATCGGGAAAGTAAGAAAATAGTCTCGAATCCAAAATTAATTTTGTTGTGTTCGCATAATATATATATGTATATATACTACAGACACATGCTATTATTAAAAAATATATATTAAAGTACGTTCTCCATAGGAATATGTAATTGGAACCTCGTTGTTCGACACTTGAATGCCCGACACCATTTTATATAGTAACAGGCCCCCCCATCTACGCCCTTTTGTCAGTTTGCGCAGTTTCCGTTTGCTAAAGTACATCGCCATTGCACGGTTCGGTTAAGATTCGGACCGTCGATTGGATTACGGTCCCGTTTTGTAAGCGCTCCCTATCATCGATCAAGGAGTTGAGCTCCAATATCAAACAAAGATATGTTCTGCGACTCGTGCTGTGCAGGCCTGGAGTACGCTGCGTAAATACTACATCAGTACGACTATCCACAATCGTGTCGCGATGACACGACGGCTGCATGATCTCAAAATGGACGACGATGCGGCAATGACCAAGCATCTGGACGCGTTCGACGAGCTGGTCGTTGGCTTGTAGACGCTGGGAGAACCAGCTGACGACGCACGACAAATGGTCGTGCTGTTGAGAAGTTTACCGTCCGAGTACGAATTGACCTCGTCGATCATCGAGAACGCAACAGATGTGACACTTAATGATTCTAAGAGAAGCTCTTGAAAGCATATGAGCGATTGAAAAAAAAGGAGACCGCGGAGCGCGGTCGAGGTGAACGGCGGCAGGTTCAGAGACAGTTGCGGAATCGGTCGAAAGCAGAGCGGACCGGGAAAACGGGACGGACCACGAAAGAACGAATTCGGTTTCAAGGGCAAGTGCTTTAAATGTGATATAGTCGGACATATGAAGTGGGCTTACCGGTCAACGCCAGAGGTCGTGAGGAAGACTCCGTATTCGCAGTGGGAGAAGGAAGGACGGATGACTGATCGACAGCGGTGCCACGTCCCACGTGACGTTCCACCGCGAGGATCAGTTCGAATACGAAGATACGGTTACCGGAGTTAAGGTGACCATCGCGGACGGAACGAAGCTCCGTGTAGCCGGGCAAGGAACGGTCCGGTTGACCGGTTTGGACGAAGGACGCATCAGGATGATTGAGGTGCTCTACATCCCCGGTCTGGACAGAAGTTTGATTTCGGTCGGAAAATTGGCTGAACGTGGTCTTAACATGGAGTTCCAAAGCGCGTCCTGTACCATTTGGGGAACAACCAGAGCGATCACACTGGGTAAGAAGATCGGCAAAGCGTACATCCTGAATTGTCAGCAGGAGGCAATCCGCCGGGGCTGCCAACGAGTGAGAGCTTTGACATTCATGGATCTGACATTCCTGACGGGACGGGATGATCGGAGGGCAGTGAGCTACTAACGGAGTATCGGCGAAGAAGCCGGACACGAAGAAGTAGTGTAGCGGGTACTTGAGAGGTGAGCAAGCGGTAACACTGCTCCCGTCCCGATCAAAAAAAAAGATATCATGTGTGGTGGAGCTTGTACACGCAGATGTGATGAGACATATGCGGACGGTCTGAACGAGATGTTCACGGTACGTCCTTACGCTGGTGGACGACCACTCAAGATGCGTGGGGGCATACTTCCAGAAGAACAAGAGCGAAGTAGTCCTAATATTAATCGAGCTTAAGAAGTTCCACGAGAACCAATGGGGGGATCAATTAAACTGTCTACGGTCGGATAATGGGACGGTGTTTGTGCATAGAGGTGTGCATGAAGAACGGGGTCGTGCATCAGCGCTCCGTTCTATACAGCCCTCTTCAGAACGGGATGGCTGAATGAAGGAGCCGTACGATCATGGAAAAGGCACGGAGTATGCTGTACTACACAGGCGTGTCTACGAAAAGATGGGACGAAGCAGAAAGTAGAGCTGTGTACCTGATCAACTGGTCCATCAGCACGTCGACCAGGACGGTAACGTCATACGAGTTGATATTGAAGGAGAAACCACGCATGATCCACTTGCGGGTGTTCGGGTCCAAGGGTTACGCTCCTGTAGATGACACGTGAGGACGAAGCTGTAGTCGAAGACCTTCGGGTGCATGTTTCTCGAATACGCGAAGAATGTGAAAGGCTACCGGGTATATGACTTTGAGCGGTCCAAGGTCAAGGTTTCGCGACCGCTTAAACTGGACGAGCGAGAAGTGGACGGAATGTACAAAACAACCGAACCACATCAAAGGAGGATCGTTCCGATAACCGTGGAATCGGATGAAGGACGCGCTCAGATCCGGACGAATCGAATGGAACGGGAATCGGTTCAAGACAAACCGACGGAAGATGGCGAGGAGCTTATCCACGTTGTTGAGATAAATGCGGTAGAATCAATGTAAGGCGCGAGTATGAACATGTTGCTGCCGTCAGCAGAAACCTCGGCCCGCTTGGGCGTTACGTGATACTGCTCAACACAATCAACATTTCAGGGCGGATCCGACTCAAGTCGACTGCGTTCCAAAATGGCAGGCTGGTTTTTCGTCCCTAATTAAAACGGACAAGACGGTTCATGAGCCCGTTCTACTACTTGAGAACGGGCCAGCAATTTGACGACGAGCGAAAATCGGAAGGAAGTGACGGACAGCCATCGCTGAAAAGAGACCGTTTTGACGGAACGGACTAGCGGCTGAGGCAGTACTGGTATATGCTGCGAGCGTAGTGGACGGAGCGGATCCACCCAGTACGTATGCGCAGGCGATGGCCGGATCGGATCCGGACGAGTGGTGCAAGGTGGTGACGAACGAGCCTTTCTCGCACGAACGAAACGGAACATGGACGGTTGTTCCACGCAGGACGGATATGCATCCTATAGGCTGCCGTTGGGGCTTAACGAAAAAGAGAGACGAGAACGGGCGAGTGCTCCGACACAAAGCACAGCTGGTTGCGAGAGAGCTCAAACAGAAGTTCGGAGTATACGTCTTTGAAACTTATCGCCTGTGGCAAACATGAACTTAATTCGAGTTGTACTTGCTGTTTGGGTTGCGAATACGTCATGGACCAATTTGGCGCGGACACTGCGTTTCTCAACAGCGTGGTGAAGGACCGCGTTTACATGGAGATCCTATTGGATATTTAGGGAGGAGCCGACTTCGGTGGTGAATGGAACAAGGCCATTAACGGTCTGAAGCAGGCCGAAAGTGCGTGGAACAGGACGATCCATCGCGTTTTCGTCCAGAACGGATTTAAGCG